TTCATATTTAAAGAACTTTCAGAAGTTTGACTTCTGGATATGAGCGGACTTTTCCTTTAAGTCTGGAAGAATAAAAAAATGAATAGGATCAGGGAAAAAGTGTTTCTTTTGGATCAAATCAGCTTAAATCAGAAGTAATGATGCTTTCATTTGGTAGATCTGAACTCGCTGATACGTCCCTAATTAAACCAAACCAGAAAGTACCAGAAACATTGAAATTATTCATGAAGGAAGCAGGAAGACGGGGTGTGCTGCTAAATAGAGATGGATCCGCCTCCCTGATATAAATATGTCTATGACTCTGCTGTGGCATCAGCCATCTTCTATGGAGTCGTCTGTTGGAGCAGTGCTGATCTGTAGATGAGAGGAAGCGTCAGGATCAGCTGATCAGGAAGGCCAGCTCTGTGATTGGATGCCCTCTGGACTCTGGAAACAGACGGATCCTAACTAAATGATCATCTCTGTTGGATAACGTCTCTCCCCCCCATGCATGAAGCTGGTGCTGAACTGGACAGCTCCTTCAGTGACAGACTGCTGCACCCTAAAGGCACCAGGGAGCGTTATCACAGATCCTTCCTCCCAGCAGCTGGAAGACTCTAGAACCACCACTGTTCCCAACAACCTCAATCAGTTGTTCCATTCATGCTGATTTTGCACAGTTTCTACCTTAGTTAAATAACATTCTGCTGTCATTCTGCACATCTCTGATGTTGCTGCTATTTTCAAATATCCATTACTGTAAAAATGTCTATAGCTGCATATTGATTATTTATTCTTCAGTTTTATATTGTTAAAACACTTTACAGGATTTTATTGTTTATCTTTTAACACTTCACTAGTGTAACTATTTTTTTCTGTAATCTTTTTGCTGCTGTAAACACCAGAATTTCCCCATTATGGGCCAATAAAGGGATTTTCTATTTTATATTATGGCTGACGGCAGCAGGAGCCTGGATCCCATTAAAACAGGACGAGCGATCCCATACCGCAATAAATAAATGTTTGATCAACAGTCCGGAGGGACAGCTGACCTCTGACAGGCTGAAGGTCATCCACCTGTGACTCTCATTCCTCAAAGGAAAAACCCTTTCTTCCTATCGGTCACATGATCGAATGATTTCCGATTCATTACGTCACATTAACAAAAAATGGAAAACATAAATAATTCCCCCAAAAATGCAGAATGTTTTCTTATAATCAAACTTCAGTTTCCAGATAAAAATCACGTTTATCAATTATACAGAAATGTGTTAATAGATACATTAATATTAGATTTTGATTGAAGGATGGAGAGTTTTTATCTTAAAGATTTAATTTGAGACAAACATGATGAGCGAGGAAGCTGGAAGCGCAGCTACATGGATGGAGGTGGTCGTCATCTGCGTAGCAACCAAACTGGATGCTAAACCTTCTGAAAATATACGGGAGGAGGATGAATGATGAAGAGCAGAGGTCTGAGGATAGAGTCCATCAGGGCGAAGGTGATCAGAGCTGGACAGTTTAGCATATTTAGACATTAAAAATAAATAAAGATCAGGACTGAGGATAAAGAAACGATGTGCATCAGTCGTCATAAACGCCGCCGCCTGGTGGAGGTTTGACATTTGTGGCTAATCCAGCTGCAGTGAGATGATGAACAGCTGGGGATGGTTTCTGATTGCGATCTGATCATAGATTTCTCTAACCGAGGAGAGTCTGACAGTGTCTGATCCTCCCATTTAAAGATCTCCTCTCCTGACTCTCCTCCAGGCCTTCGCTGAGGAGCTGCACGCTCGTGTGCGGAAGGAGCTGTGGGGCTACAGCTCCGACGAGGCCCTGCAGGCCTCAGACCTTCACAGAGTTCGCTACCAAGGCATCCGACCGGCAGCCGGCTACCCCAGCCAGCCGGACCACACCGAGAAGCTCGTCATGTGGAGCCTGGCCGGCGTCAAGGAGAAGACAGGTGAGAAACACTCATTCATTATTCATTCACTTCTACTTAGAAACTCTGGTCATTTCTCAATCACAAGAACGTGAGTACGGACTCGTGTCCTCGCCAAGTATGTTCTTTAGAAGAACCCAGGAAAGAACCCAGAAAACCAAAAAGCTAGACTGAGGTCTGCCACAGAGAGAGAGAGCATCAGGGAAGCATCCAGGTTATGTGCCGAAGCAGCTGACCTCCATGACTTCCTGCCAAAGAAGCAGATCTGGAGACGTAAACATGGAAACGACTCCAAACATCCAAGTAAAAACATCCTGGAGCAAAAGAGGAAGAAGATCTGGGAATTCCTCGGTCGGATCCAGATCTACAGCCGACCTGAAACGAGCTAAACGTTCAAGGAGCCGCAGAAACAACCTTCAGAGCTCCAGATGCTTCCAGAGGTTCCTTCACTGCTTGTTTTAGAAGCAAAATGTTTGATTTTCGGGTGTTTAAAGGCACCAAAGAAAAGACTTAAAAAGTTTCTGCTTTCCACAGATCAAACACGACCTCATTACTCAAAGGAAATTTAAGCTGGAAAACTTCTAGAATTTGAATGCATGCTGAGCTTCTTCTGGGATCTCAGCTGCAGACATGAAATGTGTAAAAATAAATCCTGTTCCACCGACTGATGCTCAGGGTTTCTGCAGCTGTTTGCTGCTAAATGTTAAAACTTCCAGCAGCCATTTTAATTATGAACCAGGTTAAAAAAGAAAAAGCTCTGATATGATGAGAGCCGAAGATAGAAGCTTTGGAAGAGAACAAAAACCTGTAGTTACCACCAGGGGGAGCTCTAGTATTGTCACAGCTGCATTGATCCCAGAATAGAAGCCTGCTGGGATCTGTTGATGAAAGTATGTAACCCTGTCTGGTGTCTGTCTGTCTGTCTGTCTGT